CACTTTACTCACGTCATCGTTTTTAATGTAAGTAGGACGGTGAAAGCACTGAAGCAACAAGTCGATTATCTGCTTGTTATCTTCGGATGTGTAGTCCAGACTCAAAAGCACATCATGGAGACTCCAGACTCTTTGGACCTCTGCACCCTGACAACACAGATGAATGACGACGACGTAAGGCCACAGAAAAAGGCCCAATATTGATTTATCGGACAAATCACTGGGGTCATATACTGACTGGTTTCTTCAGAATGAAGCTCTTCTGCAGAGAGATGAAGAAAGCAGTGCGACCAAACTTTTCTTTCTCCTTCAGGTCCTTCTTCCACCACGCCTCGCACAGTGTGTGGATGTGGAGCTGCAGAGGTGCCTCTGAGACAGGCAGCGACACCAGAACGTCTGAGGGGAAGACACAAAGAGGACTCTCATCTCATGAAGTCATGAAGGGAAAACACGAATCTACCTGGAGACACGCCGACTGAGCAGAAAGGACACCGACCGTGAAGCCTGTCGGTGATTTCCAGAAGGGCACTGTAGGTATCGCCGTCCTGTAGGACCTTTAGGGACGCCTCGGCCACAAGTGTCACGCCTTCCACGACAGCGATGACGTGTTTCTGAAGTGAACAAAAGTTGATGTTAAAAATAAAGATACAGCTCATTTGGAAGCTTGGAAGTTTGTTTTTCATTTCAACACAAATCTAAAAGCAAAATAATATCAAATTGTAATAAAAGTTTATGCTATAACTCTACATAAACCGGCTGGTGAACTCACAGGGTCCGCAGCCGACTCCACGTCCATGCCCTCTTCCCTGCCCTCTTCCCAGCGCTCCGGAGGCAACTCCTGCAGGAGGTCATGAAGGAGTGAAGCCAGCTTCCCCCACAGAGTCTGTCTCTGGTCTCTGGGCATCTCCTGCACCACCTCCTCCACATCGAAAGGATCCGCTTTGTCCTTCTGCTCAGCCGTACAGACAGGAGGAGGACAGACATAAATTGTGACCACAAAAAGGCACTTTCACTTCCAGGAGATGACTTATAGAAAATCAATCTGCGGACTGATTTGCAGAAACTGTCTGACATGAAGAAATATAAGACTCGCTGCAGGAGTGTACAAGATGCTCTCCTGTACTGTCTCTTCTTCTTTGGTGCAATGTCACTAAAAACATTGTCTTACTGTACAAACGTGAGATTTTTTGAGTCTTTTCTTTACTTCACTACATTCATTTAAGAGCATTAATTACTTTAAAAACAACATTTTCGCACACAAAACATACGAAGAGCTTTTAAAATACCATGTTTTGTTACAAATTAAACAGTACATAGTGGAGCTGATTTCTGTACAAACTAAACAATCGATTAATAAAAGAAAACAGATTAATCCATAATGAAAATAATCATTAGCTGCAGTCACATCCATAAAGTGAGCTGTACCTCAACTAAATACAACAGTGAAACCCTGCTTTTACATTAATGCACAATTAATGATGATCTAATGATTAAATATATAATAGTACAGTCACAGGGGGACATTGTTACATACTTTAAGTACATATTTTCCAGATTATACTATATAGAGACTTCCACTACTATGAGTCAATGTAAAACCTGTAACAGAGTGATTTTACAGTGTGGTTTTAGTACTTTTACTTTAAGATAAACAAACTATTTTGGAGGCTGCAGATTGTCATTGAGGCGTGTGGTAACATTTAGCTCACTTTTTACGTTTTTAAGTTATTATTAACCTACATTAACCCGTGATTGATCTGAAGGCTTCCTGGTTTGCTATTATTACTTACATGAAGTTGGATAAAGTGAAGAAAGTCCTCCACATTTTCCTTACAGGCGGCTGTGAGAAACGCCGCTCGTTTGGACATGTTTTCGGCTTTCACAGGCGACTTTTAGATTCACCGTAAACCTGAAATAACAACAAACACAGCAGCAGCATCAACAGCTGTAAAGTTTTAGATACTGTGGCTTAGCTCCACGTTACTGTAGGAAGATCAAAACAAACATGGCAGTCCGTTCATCGTTGGCGGTAAAAGTAGTAATTGCGACCGTTAATCCTCCTAATACAGTTACTATTAGTTGTATTATAACTTCTAATAATCACAGTGTAAAATATGAACCAATAGCTTCGACTTTTACCGTTTTATGTATAATTTTGTGAGCCGACAAAAGCCGAATGACAGCTGCCCATAACAACAGCAAACCCGCGCAAATTTGGATAAAGTACGTACGCACGTACGTCATGACGTCGTGCGTCCACTTTTGACGTCGACGTATTGTTGTCGTTCCCTTCTTCTGCCACTTGATGGCGACAAATCACCGCAAATGTCCTGTGTGTCTTACAGCTTGTGCTCTCTGTACCCTTGTTATAAGTCTTCACAGTGGCGTTATGCTGTAGTAACCAGGGTTCACACGAGTCCTGGAAAACCTGGAAAACCTGGAACTTTTACAGACGAGTTTTTCAGTCATGGAAACACCTGCAAATTGATCAAAATGACCAAATATCCTGGAAATATTTTATATTGTCCTGGAATTTTTAATTGTATTTTGAACAAATTAATGTTACAGTGAGAAGAAAGCAGTTGTCAATAGACCTTTTTCACAGCAGCCATTTTGACATTAAATAATAGGGGAAACACAATTAAGATTATTTTCCATTTAGGTCAAATAGAGTGAGGGGACATGTTAGCTCACTGGAAAGGCTACACTAAATTGAATGGAGCCTTAATAGGCATCATTGGTAACACACTATGTTTACCCTACTATTTCATATCCAAATGCACGTGAAAAAGGACAGCAAACAGCCAAGGATGCCGCGAAAGCAAGCTAACATGGAGCGTCCCATAAATGATGGCCACTGTTAGTAAGCGAAATGTTGTCCTGGGAAATATCCTGGAAAACAATTTCTGAAAAAAAATGGGAACCCTGAGTTGCCCACATGACATTTACACGTGTATTTATTCATTCTGCTAGGTTAGACCCCAATCCCCAAAAGAAATTTATGCTGCAAGGTTTAATTCAGTGATTTGCTCGAGGGCACTTAAGTGGAAACAATTCACAGTCTTGCTGCACAGAAGGGACCGAGTTGTAAAAACAAGCAGGACAAAAGACACTCTTTCACAAGAGCAACCATTTATTCTTCAAAACCCATGAGGCATCATTCAAAATAATAACATTAAGAAGGCAAAAAATTACATAGCGTTTTTTTAAGGCACAGGATAGATAACAAGAAAAAGTTTTTAAACGCTCCAACAAACACTTACGACTGCATGTACAAGCCTGTGACGTTGCTGTGTCATCTTCATAACAAATTCTGGCAATCCCTGCTCATAAAATGCAATAATTGTTGTCTCTGCTCATATTATTCAATTTTGTTCGACTCAACATTTGGTCTGAACGATAAAGTCAAACCCTTATTCAAGTATCCTTTATATTGTTCATATTATACAGCACTTGTTCATAGCCCTAAAATGCCCCTCTTCATCATCTGAGACAACGTTCAGATCAACCAATATTGCACAAAGTCATTTTAAAATATACAGAGCAATCATTTTATCCTTTTGCATATATGCATTCCATGTTTGTAATCAAGCATAAGAAGAACAATAAGAAGTAAACAATCAAAATAACACTGCATGACAAAAAAAAAATATCAAAGTCAAGACTGCTACTTAAGCCTACTTTTGTGATTGTATCTGTTCCTTTGGTAAGAGTTTCCTCAGACGACGACAGGATTTGTCACATTTTAACAAATTCAACAGAAAGCAATAACAATTCTGACAGATTTCATTACAATTTCCGTTGAGGAAACATAATGCCACGAAAACCCCTGCAAAGTCTTCTAACTATATATTAGCAACTTCATATTTACATAAAACAGAGACAAGGCATTTTGTGTGTTTCATACGCATTACAATATGTTACAATATCCTCTAATCTTCATCATTAATGAAATTATGGCTGGAAAAGTCTGAACAAAAATTCTTGCATGCTGAAATAATTCATGTAAACTATATGAAAAATGTCCATGAACGCAACAAAATGATGTGCCCTTATATTAACAAAATCACTATATTACAGCAGAGAGGTGGTTTCACTATGTGAGGAGGGGGTCTTGAATATTTCTTAAGCCTTGAGACGAGAAACCATCTTCACTCAGATCATACCTGCAAGAGAAAATGATAAAACAATATGAATTTAAGCACTAAAATAGGCTAAAGAACTCACTCAATGCTGTACAGGACAAAGATAAAATACAAGTTTACCATTGTGTCCATCCTTTTGATATATCCTCCCCACTTAAATCTACCAGCACCTGCAATTTTAAACAAAAAAGCAAAAAATGAATTATGTTTTTGGACTCTACATCTGACTGGCTCTGCTGCAGGAGAAAACTCACAATAGCAACCCGAAACAAGAAATCTGCTGGAGTTACCTTCCCCAAAAGCCCTTTATGTTTGGACAGGATGCTCCCTCTGTTCTTCACTGTTACATCCAGAGTTCTCCTGTGGAGCTCCACCATAGATACACTAAACTCAAACCTATAAACAAACACACATTTTATACAGATTTTATGATCAAATAAAAATGCTTCATTATTTATAAACATATAAGCTTCTCTAAACCTATAAACCTTCAAGAAAGAGGGCCCAACAGCTGCAGGACGCACCTGTGTATTCATAAATATCACACACACAGAGAGATAGAAATAATATTTAAACCCACGTTTGATCATAGACAGGGTTAAGGGTCCTCTTCATTGTGCTGGTCTTCCTCCTCCCCGTCCGGCTCTTGTCGGGCAGCAAATAGAGGCGGATGAAGGGATCTGAACTGTCTTTGGTGAAGGCTATCAAGTTACTGAGGACACACAGGACAAGATTGTTTCACTCACATGTTGCCAGGCACCTATTGCCTATTAATGCTTATATCTTGGTGGCTCCAAAGGGCGTAAGAGGATGTGGATACTGAAGAATGACTAGCAACATATTACAATAAATGACAGAGATTTGGGCCAAAAACTGAGGACAAGTCTGCCATATATCTTATAAACAACCAGTTAAAATGGAGTATATCATGGCTGTGGACCTCACCGGCAGGCGTGCACCACCACAATGAGTTTGTTCCTCTGGGAGCTGTGTCGAACAGTCAGCTGGACCTCGCCCAGGGGGTACTGGCTGGGTGCCGAGCCACTATAAACACACCAGAGTAACTCAGTGTCACTTCCACAGACTGCAGCTGAATTCGTACAGCATGCATAAGGCAGGCACAGATGGTCTTACCTTGACAGGTAGTCAAATCAAATATTCATAAAAATACATATTCAAAACAATCAGGATGACATTTCATCAGAGGCAGCGGCAGAATTTATATGAGGCAAAATGAGGAGGGGAAAAAATACAAATTAAGAAATGGTGAGCAATATTTCAGCAGAGACAGGAACCGTTCTAACAATAATAATAGTATCAGATGTGCCATTTACTTCTGCAGCTGGCGAAGCCTTTGCTGAAGCTCCAAGGTGGCGAAGGGCAGGGAGATATCCGAGGCCAGGCTGGGTGTGGACTCCTTATGAGGCAGGTGTTTCTGGGAGCTGGACATGCAGGTGCTCAGGTTGGAGGTACTGGCTGAGTACGGCTCGCCGTCCCTTTGTTGGAGGGTGAGGGTGGAAGCGTCTATAGGTGGCGGAGGCGTGTGTGGAGGCAGCGGGGAATCTGAGGCTGATCGTCTCTGGGAGGGGGCGGGGCCGGATGGCTGCGGCGCACTGGACTTCCTGACCTGGACGAAGGAGGGCTGGTCTGAGGATACCTGCTTCTCCAGGGACAGGATCTACAGAAAGACAGGACATTACTGAGGATAATGAATAATAACTACAGTTACAGTGCATGAATAAGTAAGAATAAGTGAGTTTTATCATTTCTCTCCTGTAAAAATACTGTAACTCAAGTAAAATATCTTTCCAACTCCATAAAATGAAGGTTTTTTAAAGGGGATTTGATTGGGTTGGTGGTTTTCCATACAACCTTACAGTGATAACAATCTGCATGGTCTGAGTGACTTATAAAGTAGTCTTTAAAACTGCTGATACTGCTGAATAATTTCAGGTATTTTCAAGTGTTTGGTCAGCATCTTGGCCAAATCTGCCTAGTGCTATCTGTCTTTCTATGATGGCTCAATAATCCTCCAAAGCCATCTCCCTTTTTGAATATCCGTCATGAATCTTGCTAAATTGGTCGTGATCCAATACAGAAAAGCTATTTCAGTGCAGGTCAATATTTTGATGCAGCTTCAATCATTCTTTTATTTGATCAGTTGGGATGATTCAGTTCAAAAGAATGCACTTTGTTTTGTTGTCATGAAGGGCAATGTAATTTACTCTTTGCTATGGTATCTTGTGTTTTTAGGCAGTATAATAAATGATTCCAGTCTGAAACATAGGGTCAATATTTCATTAGTAGCGTGTCATGGCAAAATGCCTTAATGAAAGGAGTGAACGTTTGAGTTCAAGGGTTAAATTGGGATTTGTCCAGTGAGGTTGGGAGGGTTGGGTATGGGACTATTTCTTCAGTATAAAGTGGATTGTCAGGAATTTGAATTTTTTAGTCAAGTCATTTTATAAATGGTGCTTCACAAACTAAATTCCATTCACTCAAATTTCAGAGACATATATCTCAAAGTGAATCGAACTCTATCTAAATGACCAGATACCACTAATATCAATGTTATTTTATTTTATTTATTTATTGGTAATTTGGGTGAAGAGATCCTTTGAATGAATGTGAGGGGGGGGAAATGCTCTGTGAAGTCGCAAAAGACAATAATACAACACCCCAAATGTGTACGCCTAGACCCAAATAAACTGCCAGTGGTGAGGATGTTGACTTTTACCTGGCTGCAACACTTTTAGCCTCAGTCTTCTGGCATTATATCACACATGTAGTCATCATGTGCCTATTTAAAGGAACAGTTCACACACATTCCTCCTGTTACTTGTAGTGCTATATATCCATCTGGATTGTTTTGGTGTGAGTGTTGGAGATATTGGCTGTAGAGATATCTGCCTTCTCTTGGCTCTTCTTCTTTCTACTGAACTACACCCGCCAACCAGTATGTGCAGTGATATGTAAAAAGAAAATTATATGAAACTGCTCACAAGGTCTGTGTTTCTTGATTAACTAGGTCAGGATTTCAGGAAAGAAACATCGCTGTTGAGTTTTTGGGTGCGTTAGGCACCACAAGCCGAGTGCCATCTTGGCTCCATTATATTGGAGAGAAGGCAGACGTCTTTACAGCCAATATCTCCAAACGTTCACACCCTTTTGATATCAGAACAAACTAGAAAATCCATTTCCTGTTGACAATTATTTTTAAAGCATTGCTGAAACTGCAGAAATTAATTGCCTGGAAAGTCTCAAATGCTCTGCAATGCAGAGCAATCGAGAGTCGTGGACAAGCAGTGTAACCACTGCACTACTGAACACAACGCCATCCATCATAGGCCAGCCAGTTGGTGAAATAATACTACAGGTAAGAGGAAAAATATGTATTATTGATTTTGGGGTGTTTCAACCATCTCATGGAGCTAGCTAGCCACAACATCATCAGTTGTGGGCTAGAAATGAGAACCTTGCTTCTTTCTACCTATGTCTGACATCAAGAATTCACTGTTTCAGGTATTACGAAGAACTTTAAAAGGTAAATCTGGCACAGTTTGACCGTCATCACTGTAAACTGCATATGAGTCTTGTGAAGAGACAGACAGCCAAGTGTAACTGGTCAAATTACAACTGAGCTGAGAGCATAAAATATTACGGCTGTTATGAATTCAATAAATACCATTCAGCTTATAGTTGACACTGCAATACTTGCTTTACTACATTAGCTCAGATGTACTGTGCCACTCTGCATATATAATGCACCTTCTCACAATCCTTTCTGTTTGAATCAGCAGATCTTGAACATCTGTTGTGGTTTCTTGAAATGAATAACCCTCAAATCCCTAATGCACACAGGTCCAGGTTGTTTCTTACCCTCAGGGCCATCTTCAGTTTGATGGTGGAGCTGGGCCCGGAGTTCTTGAGAGGAAAGCACTGAGTCAGCGTCATGTCCTCCTCTGCCAACAGGCTGCTCAAAGGCACCGTCAAATTACCCAGGTTGCATTTGTGCTTGTCATCTTTTATCTGTTGCGTTACGAGAGAAGATCTGCTTTAAGACACGTCGGCTACTCTCGCCATTTGTTGCGTAATCTCATGAAACATACTTATCGGGGAAGATTTGTGCAGCATTACCTGCACCTCGAGCTCCTGCCTCCTGGGATTGTGAACGAGGAATGAGAAGCAATCTTCCCACAGAGGCTCCTTGGTCTTGAACCGGATCTTTACGGGCAGACAGGTAGTCGTTTGTTAGTTGTTCATTAAAAGATATTTGAGACCTGCTAATTAAAAACAGAATTAATCTGGAGGAATCTGTCAAGCAGTCATTAGAAAGTGCTGAACTTGAAATGTAGAATCATACTAATGACATACTAACACAGTAGGGATGATGCTATTAGCTGAAAATTAGCGTTTATCCAGACATTTTCATTACTTCATACATCGTTTTATCGTCTTTAATTATGAATTTTTCTACATTTTCAGGTTATACTTAACAATTTCTGCTCATTATTTCAGTATTTTATCATTTCCAATCCTGCAGGTCTACTTAATACAATACTGTTTGAAACCTCTAATTAGCTCTGTTGATCTTCATAATCTACTACTTGATGTTTCCTCACAAGATTGGTGTCCACAAATAAAGATTTAGGGCAGCGGTAGGCTTTTCACCTGTTTTTTCTTTACTTAAGCCAATTGAGTTTTAAATGGAACAATGGAACAAGTGTTTGGGTTTTTTTTTTTAGCTTTAAGGGTTTTTCTTACATACATAGTTCCCCAGTTTCCTAAATATAGTATACTGTAGGCTAGGTGATGATGGAGTTTTATAGCCAAGCAGACAGACCAAATCAGTCCTGATCTCAGTCTCAATTAACATGTTTCTCACTTGCTAAAGACCAGACTGAAGGCAAAGGAGCCACAGCAACAACAAACAACAACAAATGCAGCAGCACAGGTGTTTTTACTTATTCTACCTGATTAGACCTCCTGTAAGGAGAGCGTGGGCGTGTACAGACTGCGCTTGATTGACACTCACTCTCACGTGTACGGTTGTGAAATGTGAGAAGCTATTTCAAGCACCCCTGGTCATGAACTAAAAATTCGATTTACTTTTCTCCACAGACAATGTTACGTGACAGTTGGAGCACAGCTTGGATGTGTATGAAGTCCCCCTGCTTGAATCATCAGTACAAAAGACTAACAAGGGCATCTAATCGCATAACTTTAAAAGTTCTGTTACGTGGGAAGCTAACGGCGGGCAAAGACGAAAGATTGTGGTGTAAACTAAAAATATAATCTGCAGAACTTTTGGATTCTGGCTCAATTCTTCGTTCACAACTGCAACAACGAAACATGAGGAATTTGCTACAGTTCTGATTTGCACCTCTCACTGATTTCCTCTCAATAGCTCCAATGCATATTGTAATATTTTGAGCTGGGTGCTATCCCAAACTAATGGACAAGACGTGATTTCTCATAAACGTAGTGTTTCTAACTAAGCTCATATCTCTGCCACAAAAGGAATCTAATACAGCAAACCTCCCTAAACCCATGCTCACAGTAAACCTTCAGCATCAACAATAACACGGTCCACTTAAGTGGTTCCTCCTCCTTATTTCCCTTTCGAACTGTATTTGGAAATTTCCCACGAGAAATGTCAGTGAAGCAGCTCTTTAGCCGACACTTAATGGTATGTTTGAAGGTTATAATACTTAATTTAATTTTCTTGCACAACAATTTTCAGTTCATCTCTCTTTTAATCCCACAGTCTGAGAGAACTAATAAAAAACTCCAGGGAGAGACGGTTAGAGAATGAGATGTGTTGGCTGTTAAGACTTCAAACATGTCCGCGTGGACGAATGTGAGATATATTCTCATAAAAGTAACTGCTGTATTAAATCTTTGGTTGTTCAGATGTTATTGCCAACTTAAAACTGGAAGATTGGGAACAAAAATCACATGCAGAAGATGCATTTTTTTTCTTCACATATGAAGTGAAATCTAATAATAATACTGATGGACGCTTACTCACCTTACTCTCAAGTGTTTTGTGTCCAACGGTCATTTGAACATAAGGACTGGGTTCGCTGCTGCTCTTCTTCGTAGACTATTAAAGAATCAGAGAAGAGGGGTGTTAGCTGATTCTCCTTACTCCGACACACAATGCAGGGACGTCTAACGGACAACATAATTACACCCAAAACGTTAGCTTCTTAAGACTCTGTGTCAGGCACACAATGGTGAAAGAGTCTGCAGTTCAAAAGGGAAGGAACATTACCATACGTTTTGACAAGCAGGGCTGCAGGCAGAGAGGCTACCAAGGAGACTGCCAAGCTTTATCTCCTCTGCTTTCTAATTTTAGCATGCTGGGTTTTGACAGCTAAGAATTATTCAGGACTCCTTACAGAATAATAATACCCTACATATCTACAAATCAGTGGGGGAAAGTCTTAACTTACTTGTTAGCCCATCCTTTCTCTTGAGGATGGTGCTTAAGTTTGACATCTATTTCTCACCAGCATTAGAATTAAGCTCCACATTGTACATGCAGGCTGATTAACACAATCCCACACGTTGATATGCTACAGCTTGAACTGAGAAGGCACTTAAAAACGCATTGTGTTTCACATTATTGGAATTATACATTTGTACTTAAGTTGCTTACTGAAAATGTTACAACTGCTACTTCTGCTTGCTATGTAAACAATATGTACTGCATTATTTTTACTTTTACTGTTTAAGTTTTTCTTTGTGGAGATTTTCCTATATCCAAATCGAAGGTTTAAGGACAGAAGATGTTTTGCCCTCTAAGGCAAATCTTTGATTCTGAGCTTTACATAAATAAAACTGACTTGACTCCACATCTACAACTGAGGTTGTCACAAGGTGTTGCCATTTTGTGCTTTGGATTGAAATATATACAGTCAACAGTTTATCTCACAATTAAACATATTTTATATATTTTACAAAAAACTGATTTTGACTCAGATTTTCCATCTTATGTCCATGTATTTCTTATTGTTTGTGACATGTCTATAACAAATCAATCACATTTACATCCAGAATATTTGCCGTTGTTCTCTAAATCTTTATTCCTGATGTCAAGTGATGCTAAAAGACCTACAAGAAAAGGAAGTAAAAGTAGCATTTTAGATATCAAAACAACTTCCTAGTATAGACACAATGAAGAAATTCAAAGAATCAGCTCAATAGGTTTACATCAGCCTGTCTCCCCGCTAACAGCCAGCCCAGCCAGGTAGCAGTGACACTGCAGTCGGGATTACAAAGAGTGAACTACTGGGAGCAGACCGCAAGTATTTGTTCTCCAGTTGGCCTGTAATGCCAAATGAAACCGACACACAATGGTGTAGGAAGTTCCACTGACGTGACTGATGGGCACTGAGGGCGTGCCACTACAGCTTAGAACTTCCTAGAAATATTAAAGGCAAGATGCCGACTGGAACGAGGCAGCAGTTGACTTCTGAGTAAGCGTTTGTGTAACCTGCTGGATATGAACAGCTGTGTTGTAATGCTGTAAATCACCTGCTGATGTTGTGACTGTGAAACACAGCAAATGTCGTTGTGACAGGTGCCTAACAGACCTAATATAGTCATGTTTCTACTTCCAACTGTGCTTATTGTTTCTGGACATGTTGTTCCTTATGCCATACCATAAGTTCCAACATGATGTGGGCTTGATCAGGTTTTTGATAAGTTAACACAGGCTGGGTTGCCCTGCAGGTTTGCTGCTGAAAACCTTCGGCCTAATTCAAGCGCAATAAAAACAAGCACATGTAGAGACTGTTCGATAGTTGTTGAATGCTGCAGAAAAGTGCAATATTAGACTTTTGCATGCAAGATCACACATTTGGAAAATCATGTATCACTACAAATAAGAAGAAAGGTGTGTACAGCACACAAAAAAAGGCATAAAACAGACAATGCAATCATCCATCTTCATGCACATCGAGACAATTCACTCCGCTTGATAATCATCACAATCACATGGTGTTGGATGGTGCACTTGAAGGGCACAGATGAGACACAGGGCGTGAGCTGTACATGCAATCCATTTTTCCCACATTACCTTCAGGGCCTTAAAGACTGAGACTTGCTTCAACCCATCATAGGTGAAATCTGACAGGTTGCTCTTTAAGCCACAAGGAGATTTGGGGGAGAAAATCACACCCACAGTTATTAGGACTGGAGTGATGAGGGTATGGTTAAGAGGCATGAGAAAAAACCCAGAAAGAAAATATAAAACATGAAGGATATGGGTAATAAATAAAAAGCAGCATGAGGGCTGATACTGTTGACACTGCAGGGAGCTAACAATGAAAACAGAATAATGAGGTTATTTCTTTCAGGGAGGATTTGGAGTGTGACTTCTTTTTAACAAGCTACAGGCTTTCTGTATCTGTACAGCTACATATTAATTGGCTCACCGATACAGTTTGATGCTCTTTGTACTGTAGATACTTTATATTACAGCCTTGAACTAAGCACCTGATTGAGCAGAATCTGACTAACAAGCAGGCATAGCTGAGTCCTGTGTTTTCCTGTTGCTTCGTGTTAATGGTTATTGGACACCTAGGGTCATTTTCATTAGACATTTCAATAAAACCGTGCAGCTAACGCATGCTTCCAGATACAGGTTTTAAGGACCCCTGTTACTGTTCAACCCACAGCATTGCACACGGCTAATGCTAACGCTATCAGGATGCAAACGCACTGGGGGACTCACACATATTGTTCTATACTCTGAAGTATTGCTCTCACAAAAGACTAGACCAGATGCTCTCCTCTCACTTAAGTTCCCACAGCCTAAGCTGCCTGTGAAGACGCTCTTGGGTAAAGAGGAAAGAGAAAAAGGTGGAGTTATGAGGACTGAGACGGCTAAAAATCTTGTCATTTTGTAACTGATGGTATAAAGTCTTTTAGATGTTTTAAGAATCCAAAATTCAACAATTGGTGCAATAAAAGCCTTCACATCGCACTGGATAAACTTTAAAAATATACCATGCTCTTGAAAAGAAGAGGTTTTGGAGTTTCAAGGTTCTCATCTGCTACTGAACAGCTACAAAGGTTTTGACACAAGACAGAATTCTCTAACTATAATGACTAAATCATAAAACTTGTAAACACATCGTTTGGAGCTCTAGGCTACACCCACACTAATCAGTTCTTGTTTTTTATGGCTAGATTTTGAGTAGCTTAGATAATGAGAAAAATAATCAACAACCCGCTCTGGTTGTTCACCAGGAGGTCAAAAAGCAGTGAAAAACAAATTTCAAAGAACATGGAAAGCAAGTTGATGAAGTCACTCAAGTGTCACAAAGCATGAGACATTATGGTAACAGGGAAGTGGAGCATTGCTGCACACTGACCAATAATCCTTACTTAAACAACTGTGCCACACAGGTATTTCCTACTAAACTGGTTGTTGCTACATGTGGTGTGTATGTTTTGGGTGGAGAACAAGAAGCTTGAATAAGCCTAATGCTATATTTTAGCACAAGCTATAGCATCAGAACAACAGCATTGCAAGCATCAAAATACAATGAGCGTTGCAGTATCTTACTGGCAGGTTCTTTGCTGAGTCCAGATAGACCACAAGCAGTGCTGATGATAGCCCATCATTGGCCAGGCTTCTGTCTGCACGCACACTTCGCAGCACCTGATTGGACAGAAAGATAAAAAAGAAAGACAAGCTGTGTTATCAACCCTCCAGTATCAGCAGTAAATACAGAAACAGTGAAAGATAATATTTGTTTGTTAAAGACAGAAAGTTTATTTTTATACCTGGTCCAACCTCTCCGGAGTGGAGAGCAGAGCTAGCCACTCCATTTTTAAGTGGAGTTTCCCAGTGGAAGTTTCCTCCAGGTTGAACCACTGCAACAGAGATACAAAATGTCAAAGTGAAATCATTGAGTTAAGTCACTGAAGGGACCAAAAGAATGACTGAAGAATTATCGTATGTTTGCCTTCTTGTTGAGAGTTAGATGAGAAGACTGATACCACTCTCCTATCTGTATGGTAGATATAAAGCTGCAGCCACATGGGCAAACAGATAGTCTGGCTGTGTTCAAAAGCTAAAGCTCACTAATTAAAAAAATAGATACACTATATCTCGGTAATCTGTACAAAAACCAAAGTATAAAAACAACATTTTGTGGTTTTAATGGAGGTTATGTGCTGGGCTGTGTCGTCACTGTGAGGTTGCTAGGCAACCAGCGGAAAACGGAGATGTAATGTTGTTAATTAGTGAGCTTTAGAGGTGCTGGTAGGCACATTTTGTTCACGTTGGACAGACCCACACCAGCTCTTTGCCCTTGTTTCAAGAGTGGTATTGATCTCTTCATTTAACTTGGGAAAGAAAGCGAGTGTCTTTCCTAAAAATGTGTAATTATTCATTTAAGACGTATAATGTATAAACTCTAATTACATGAGCACAATAATTTGGTCGTGTTTTTACCTCGTCAACTTTCTGTTCTTTGTGCAGCTCTGTCATATCGATCATCAGGCTGTGAATAATAATAATGACAAATAGTTATTCAAATCTGGATGGCAAGCAGTGAGCAGAGAAATCACACCAATTCATCTAAGCAGAGGGGGTCCAGTCATCGATTGGTTGCTTTGTCTTGTCAGTGCTGGGTGTAGTGTTACAGCCTTGGGGCAAAATCAATCGACTTTGCCCTTGGGTTTGGATCTATGGGATAACACCTCTTCTTTACTTTAACTTACGTCTACTAGCACACATTTGTTCATCACACCGTCCCCTCAGGTGTTTAGGAGACAATATGTCAGTGCCATACTGGCTTGTCTATATATATAGTTGGCTGATTACAACAACAACAAATCAGTCCCACTGCTGAGGTGCAAAGAGACTTTGTTTACTTATGATATATGTGTGATAAGATCAGAGCAGGGTATGAAATGAGAGGAACTCACCTTCCAAGGAAATCATCCTTGTCCGGATCCTCATCAAACAGCTCAATCTCAAGGTGTTGACCCGAGTGCTCGTACACCAACGCCTGATGAAGACAGGCGCATATTGATGCTTGTTCAAGCATGTTCAGTCAACAGACAGATCACCTACCAGGCAGCAGGTTGGGAGATTAAACTCATCTTCATTCTTAATAAATGAAAGTGCAACCTAAACTGCGCTGTTATAAATGTTACTCCATGGAAAATCCCAAATGCGTTACCTCGTAGACTTCGTTCCATTTGGGATGGAGGCTCTCCTTGATCGTCTTGCTCTGGAACAGCTGGTTGCCGATCTGCAGGATGCCGTAGGGGTCGGACTTGCCCTTGATCAGCCCTCCCAGAAATTTATCCTTCCCTTCCAGATCCTGAGCCTCCAAGAAGTGAATCCTCAGGACTCCCTGTGGAGACATGCAGAGCACAGCGTCGAGGGGAGCAACTCTGAAATAGCAGACTCTGACACTTTGAGGCCAAAAGTCAGTGGTGATAACATGTGACATTACAAACTGGGTATCATGAGGCAATGCAGAAAACTGTGGCTTATTACTGAGGTTAGGTAGTAACAAAGCATTCTTAATTATGTTATTTATTGTTTATGTTTAGTTTTCTACAGAAATTATTGACAATCTAACTGGTGGTGGGGGNNGGGGGGGGGGGGGGTACCTTTCCTGTCTATTTCACTAAGGCAGCAATTAACAATTATTATAATTGCCAAAAAAATCTGTTAATCTTTTATTCAGTGAAGCCATTGATTGTTTAGTTAGAAGTAGTAATAGTGAAATTTAAATGTCCATCACAAGGTGACATTTTTAATTATTTTCTTTTGTGTGACCAACAGTCTAAAACTCAAGTAATTCAATTTATTATTGATCATTTCTGTAGTGATATAAAACTTGACACTGCACATTTGACATTGTTGCTTGATAACTGACTGATTAATGGAAATAATTCAGTAATTTCTGATTAATCTTCCATCCAATATTTCAATCCACTAATCAATTATTCAGCTAATGTAAAGTCATGTTGTCAGAATTACGAGAAAAGAGTTATAATAATCTTATCATCGCTTAAAATGTCTTTAACATCACGATATAGTATCTCCTCAACAAGGCTCAACAAGTGTTTATCTTGTTGCCATGGATACTGGCACTAGCGACAAAGCCTGGACGTGCTCTTTAGCTGCTAAGGCTGGTTTTTTGTTTCTTTCTGTTTTAACGCTGTGAGTTATCTACAAAACCCTGACACCTACTTTCTTTTATTAGTGGAAAAGAAGAATAAAAACACATATCGCACAGACCCCGTGAGATTTGACTGTCAAGGACTTTCAGTTTCCAACCATGAATTCCCTCCTGAAGCAGTCAGCTTATGCACAGACCCAGACAGTTTTGAAGAGGCAAGGAATATTAAATCACTTCATGTTTAATTGCATTTTCACACAGCATTAGTACCTTTGGCATGGGGAAGCGTAGCATGGCCAGTTCCACATCCCCGACGAGAGGGATGGTGATGCGATTGGGTAATACCAGGTAGCTGTAGATAATGTCTTGAATCAGACTGTCAGAGAAGCCACTGTAAGGACAGGAGGGAGGGTTGTGAGAAGGGAGGGCAGCAAGATAAACAGAATGAAGCAATGAATTATTTAAGTAAGGGTGCCCTTGGGTTATAAATATTCTCCTTTAATCTCAGTTTAGTACAGTGCATTTCTGCTTTACATGTGAGAAGATAGTAGGAAAATTGGAGTCGGTTCAAGCATGTTGGTGCTGCTAGCCAACAAACCTCTGAATGTCTATCTGATCCACTAATGGTCCAGCGCTTCGTGACAGCAACAATGACAGTGAGGGGGGAGAATTATTACCGCAAGGCTTTCCTTTATTCGTTTAGTTCCCGTAGCACAGCTGAAAAATTGCAATCATGGCTAGAAAAAATGGAATTACAATGAAAATTCATCATCCAGGGTTATTGTTCGTGCTGTACGTCTAAGAAAAACACTTGTGAATACAGCACAGATGTCCATTTATCAGGATGTGGATGTCCTAATCAAAGGCGTCTGTAAACTGCCTGACTGGAAGAATATAGCAAACTGTCTCTGGAGTGATCCCAGGGCCTTGAAAACACACCGGTTACACCTGCGAAATGGGCTGCCAGAAACACTTAAGTGCTGCCACGCGAGATACAACAACATGGTCCGTTGACAAGTAACCTAATGAATGGGACATTTAACTAATACACACTACCTCATGTACTTATCCCATGTGCTTTCTAATTGTCTACCAGAGGAGCAACTTACAGTTGCTAGGTGACTGTCTGTAAGTAATTGGTGTTATAAATTAAGAGAACTCCTGTCCAAGGTGTCAAGAACATCTACTTACACTGATAAGCTGTGGCAGAGGGTGCGGCGGCCCCGGGCCCACAGTTCTCTCGGGGCCCACCTTTGGCCCAACTTGTCTTACTGAACATCCGTTCTTGTTGTTTAGTTGAATATTTTGAATAAGGTTTCTTTGAGTGGCTCTCGATTGGGCAAAAAAGTGGCCCTCCAGCCATAGCAGTTGTCTATGACTGCGCTTTCTCCATTAGCCACTTTTAAGGGCCTACTACAGGTGCTAGCCCTGTCTGCAATGAGACATTGGCTCCACGGCTGCTGATAAGACCTCCTATACTGCAAAGTTACAATGCAGTAACTACATGTTTGGTCAAAGTTGAGTTAAAACCAAACTGCGTTCAAAATGTGTTTGACCAGATAAGATTATATTGAGCCATAGAAATGAAAAACAGCAAAAAATAGAGTTAAAACCAAACTGCAGTGATACCTAAGTCCTCTTTCCTGCGACTGAAAAATCAATTTTGATACTCCAACATCTTGATTAAGTTTGTTATACCATATAAATAATGTAAGTATACTAATCATAATAAAGAAAAAAAGTTGCTTTTTCTCAACGTCTCTGTTTCTCTAGTTACTGATCTCTGCCACTGTAAGGCAGAGCAGAAATGTATTCCTATGATTATTAAGCTCACAACAACACCCACTAATATCCTCTCTGCTGTCAGCTGCAGTGGCAAACAGGTCAGAGCACGCGTAACCCTAACGTACACTAGCAAACACAGGCTAAAGGCCAGCTGATCCACAGGGCTAAAAAAGCCTAACTCGGCAGTGCAGAGACCAAAACGCATCAGCAAACACAGATAAATTAAAATCTAAAAACTTTCTAAATGTCAAACCACTCATATGTCAGCAATTTACAATTAGCCAGAAGCTATTTGACATTTCAGAGCAGTTCTGAATGTACTGGATTTTTTTCTGTAAGTGTTGTTCAAGATGATACAGTCAAGGTTGTGAATCAGTTCAATCACTTTTCTGAATGCCTGCAGTTAATTACAGCCTTGCAATTTATTCTGGTCATAAAGGTGACTGTCCTGCAAAGCCACCAGTTAATGAGATTTAAGCGACAACAGTTTCTGAATGTGTAATGTGACCTCGTATGTGCTTGCTTGTTTTAATTGTTTTAACTGCTTGTCGGTTTTATATGATGTTGTATCTCGATTTGGTGATTGAATTCCCACCCCGGTGGGCAATAAAGATATACTCCAAAATTCCTTTAAAAACAGAAAGCTTCCTTTGCTACTATAAAAAAAAGCCCTGACACCATCTGTTCTGACAAAGACACCAATGAAATAAACTCAATTAACTGCCTTTGTTTGTTCCTGGAGCCAGAGGAAACATTCATTTGGTCAATCCTGAACTTAACTTCCAGTGAAGCGGCAGGCCATGGCTCTTCTCTGTGAGCCGATTAGGATTCTCCGGAGGGGGACAGATCAGCACTGGAGCTTTTCTCCAACTGAGAGCTGAGGGCGTAAAGGGATTCCTGCTGCATCAGCGCATATTGCTGCATTTTTGTTGTTCCCCTAGCGTAAACACTAAGAACACCCCCATGTACCTGCGTGTGTGTGTGCATGCACAGTAACACAAGTGAGACTGTTTATTCAGTCATTTCAGGACAACAGTGCTGACTGCAGACATGCACACTCAGACTTTATAATATACGGAATGTGCAGTATGGTACTGTGTGCTTGACTCACGTTTGAGTCACATCAAATACAAATTTTTGTCATCATCTGACAGACAGCAGTGTTTTTGTAATGTGGTTTTGTCAGTCCACTACTTTGCAACAGCTACTGGCTGAATTGGGCATTTAGGCATCCCAGTCTTTCATTCGCCAGTTAGAAATATCGTCCAAACATCGCAGGAGAATCGTTCTTACACAAAACTTCTACAGAACATTCGTAGTCCCCCAGGGGAGTGAATTCTCCTGTTTTTACTCCTAGTACGGACCACCCATCAGGGTCACAATTAAATGGTATTAGTGGGACCAACGATACCAAACAGAACTAATGAATTCTCATCAGCCTCAGCTGTACTTGGTATTTAGTGCTAATTATTAAATATTAGCATGCTAACACACTAAACTAAGATGGTGAACACGTTAAACACATACCTGCTGAACATCAGCACGTTGGCATGGTCACTGTGAGCATGATAGCATTAGCATGTTGCTAGGTACAGCCCTAGCTGCTGCAGCCCTAGCAGTAGCTGTACTCTCTTAGTCTTGTTTTGATTCTAAAACCAACTCAACAGCAATGACATATCACAACATGTAAACAATTTGTTGCATAACAATAATGACAAGGTTTGAGAGAGGCACACTGGGCGAGCCTTCAAGTAGGCAGCTGATGCTGTCTGTCTGCTGCTGCTGCATTCAAGGAACTCTCTCACTGCAGCTACAATTTCACCATGTGGATCTCTACTTCACCAGCTAACCCCTCTTTTTCTGCAC